TGAGGTGTACATACACCCCACCTGTCTTGATTGTGGGGGGGCCTGCCTCCACATCTAGCCATTCATTTGGAGTGTACATACACCGCAGAGCAGCCATGGCCTTCTTCCCCTGCTGCTGCTGCTGCTGCTGCGCTGCTGCTGCTGCTGCGCTGCTGCTGCTGCGGCTGCTGCTGCCTGCTGCAAGCGGAAGGAAGGGCGGGCCCCGGCGGCCTCTGGGGGCTCCATCCTGCAGCAAAGCACATTAACATAAATAATATAATTAATTAATTAATTAATTGATTAATTAATTAATTAATTAATTAATTAATTAATTAATTAATTAAAACAAATAAATAAACCAACAATTAAAATCGGAGAAGAAAGAGCCCATAGAGCAGGGGCACGCTACCCGCAGCTGCCCCGCAGCAGCTGCTGCTGCTGCACTTTGCTGCAGCTGAGTTGCAGCAGCAGCAGCTGCTGCTTCCGTCTTGCTGCAGCTGAGTTGCAGCAGGAGCAGCAGCAGCTGCTGCTGCTGCAACTCAGCTGCAGCAAGCGCTGCAGCTGGTTTGAGCATCAGCAGCAGCTGCTTCTTGCTGCAGCCTGTTTGCAGCAGCAGCCGCGGGAGCTGGCGCTGCTGCTTGCTGCAGCTCTACAGTGGCCTCACGTTTCGGTTTGCTGCTGCTGCTGCTGCTGCTGCTGCTGCTGCTGCTTCGGGCCCCAGAGACTGCTGGTAGCAGCTAAAGATTTGTCTTATCCTCACAGGAAGTCCCCCAGCCTCCATGAGGCTGGGCTGCAGCTCCCCAGCCCCCACCGGCGGCAGCGTGCGCCCAGCCATGCTGCAGCAGCAGCTGCAGCAGCAGCAGCAGCAGCTGCAGCAGCAGCAGCAGCAGCAGCAGCAGCAGTAGCAGCAGCGGCAGCGGCAGCTGCTGGGAGACGCTGGCGGCGGCTGTACGTACACTCCGCGCTCAGTCCTCAGAGAAGCTCAAAAGGGAACAAAGAGGTCCTTCGGGTGTACGTACACTGCAGGGCGGAGGCCCTGGCCATCTGCTGCTGCTGCTGCTGCTGCTGCTGCTGCTGCTGAGGGGGCGCCTGGCGCTTTTCCGTGGCTGTAAGTGGTAAAAAGAAGCCAAAAGAAGACTGATATCCAGCGGTAGACCGCAAACCCTAAACCCTAAACCCTAAACCCTAAACCCTAAACCCTAAACCCCAGACCCCGCGAGGGCTCGCGTCGGCGGCGAGACACGTGGCGGCGGCGGCTGGCTGTCTTGGAGTGCTGCGGGTTTGAATAAAAAGCTTTTTTGAATTTAAATGAATTAAATTGCATTAAATTGAATTTAATTTAATTAATTTGAGAGAGGTTAAAGAATGCTTGCGGGAAAGCAGAGCACTGAGCAGCGGAGGGCCCCGGGAGGCCTCAGCAGCCGGCGGCGAGGCGGGGGCCAGGGGGGCCTCTGGGGGCCCTTCTGAGGCCTCTCGTGCGCCAATTTTGATCTTAAAATGAATTAAATATAATAAAATATTAAAAGTGATTTCATTTTGAAGAGATTAAGCGGAAAGAAACTCAGTTCGCGTTGCTTGAGCTCCACGTACACCCCGGCGGTCGCAGTGGTCCGGTCTGCTGCAGACCGTCGCGCTCGCCGGCGGGAAGTTCCTTTTCTCCTTTTTGCAGTTTAAATTTAATTTAAACTTCAAATTTAATTTCAAATTTAATTTAAAATTCAATTTCAAATTCAATTTCAATTCAAAGAAGGTCTTTATCATCGCCTCTGCCTTTCATTTCATCCCGCAGGGCCTGCTCAGGTGTACATGCACCTGTCGAGTGTGCAGGTCTCAGCCCTTCCAGAGGCCTCCAGATCTCCCAAAGGAATTTTTAAAATTAAATCAAACAAAATAAATAAATCCAATTTAATTTAATATCTCATTTCCCTTTATTAGCGCCTCTAAAGGCCCCCCAGCCATCCAGCAGCCAGTCAACGCGGCCCTGGGGGCCCCTTTGCAGCACCGCCCAAATAAGTAGGGGCCCCCCACTGGGGCCCCGGAGCCCCCGGGGCCCCCGGGGCCCCCAGGGGGCCCCTCGGGGGGCCCCTCAGGGGGCCCCCTGGGACTGCTGAGGCTGCATGCATGCGTTTTGAGGGCTGCTGGGGCCCCGCTGCAGCTGCTGGGGACAGCATCTGCAGCAGCAGCTGCTGGGGAGGTGCTGGGCGGGCGTAGCCGCTGCTGCTGCAGCTGCTGCTGCAGCAGCTTCAGCTGCAGCAGCAGCTGGAACCGCGGCTGCGACAGGAGCGGCCTTTACAGCCGCTGCTGCAGCGGCTGCCACTGCAGCAGCAGCTGCAGCAGCAGCAGCTGCTGCTGCTGCAGCAGCAGCTGCAGCAAATGCAGATCCCCCCTTTCATTTTGCTGCTAAAAGCTGCAAGCCTTTGCTGCTGCTGCTCTCAAGGCCCCCAGGAAATTAGATTTGCAGCTTCGCTCAAATATCACTTTAAATGCTTTTAAATAAATATATTTCCGTGTTTGTTTGAATTTATTTATATTCTTTTTTATTTTTAATATAATAAATAATTTATTGTAATTTTAAAAGTTTATTTCGCAAATTTAAACGCAAACTCCGCAGCGCATGCATGCACTTTGAGCTGTACGTACACCTCACCAGTACAGCCAGGATGAAAAGGCACTTTTTATGTTTTTGATTTATTTTAATTATTTAATTAATTTTAATTAATTTTAATTAATTTAAATTTAATTTGGAATAAGTTTAAGAAAAGAGAAAAAGAAAGATTGAAAAAGAAATCAAAAACCTAAAAAGGATTTGAAAACAAAAAACAAAAGACACAAAGAAGAAGCAAATAAACGCATGCATTGGACTCCAGCTTGCTGCTGCAGCAGCAAAGCTTGTTTGTCTTTTTTCTTTAATAAAAGTAATTTAATTTTTTTCATTTTTTTTTAAAAAAAGAAAAATAAGAAATAAAAATTGCCTTTTCAGCTCCTTGCTGCTTCTCGGTTAATAGAGGACTTTGCCACTTTTACGGAGATTTAATTTTCATTCAAAAAGATATTTAATTATTTAAAAAAGAAAAAAAGAAATAAATAAATACTTTTGACACCCCGAGCAGCCCGCTGCTTCGCTCCTCCAGGTGTACGTACACCTCAGAGGTGCACAGACACCCCAGCGGCTGAGGCGCAGCAGCAGCAAAAAGGAAAAGCCCCCTTGCTGCTGCTGCTGCTGCTGCTGCTGCTGCTGAGTTTGCAGCTTTTGCGTCTCTAAAGTTCTTTCTTTTAATTTCATTTTCAAAGAATTCATATTTTGTTTTTAAATAAACTTTTTCCCGCAGAGTCCAGAAAGCTCTTATTTGGGAAAATAAAGCTGCAGCAAAAGACCCTTTTGCTGCACCAGTGCTGCAGCAGCAGCTGCAGCAGCAGCTGCAGCAGGAGGCCGTTTTGCTGCACTATCATGCTGGCAGCAGCAGCAGCAAAAGTGCTTTTTGCTGCGCCATTACAATGAAAGTAGCTGCAGCACGAGGCCGCTTTGCTGCAGCAGTGCTGCTGGAACAGCTGCAGCAAAAGGCCCTTTTGCTGCGTCAGTTTGGCAGAAGTAGCTGCAGCAAAAGGCCACTTTGCTGCATCATTTAGGGGAAAGTAGCAGCAGCAAAAGTGCCTTTTGCTGCAGCAATTGAGTGAAAGAGGCCCCTAGAGAAGGCTATTTGTTAGCCGCTGGCGCATGCTGCTGCTTTGCTGCTGCTTTGCTGCTGCTTTGCTGCTGCTTTGCTGCTGCTTTGCTGCTGCATGCAAAAGGAGCCTTCCTCATTAGGCAGCAAAAAGCGGAAAAGAGCTGCTGCTGCGAGGCCGTGCTGCAGTGCTTACTGGCTGCTGACTGCGAAGGAAACAGCAGCAAAAAGGAAAAGGAAATGACTGAGAGTTAAAAGAAATGAAAAGACAATGAGTGGCGGCTGTGCTGCTGCAGGTTGCTGCGCTTGCTGCACAGTTTCAGGTGTCTGCACACCTCAGCAGTCAAGCTCGGGTCTGTGCAAACAACTTTTGCTGCTCTTTTTCGCTGAAGCTGCAGCAAAAAGCTGTTCATAATTATTTAAATATCTTTTTTGAGTTTTAGGGCCTTTTTTGCGGCTGCGGAGCGTCCAGAATCGCCGGAGTTGCGCAAACTCCGCGCTGCGCGCGCGGCAAAGAACTTGAACGAGCAAGCCGGGAACAGCGCGATCCGCATTGAAATAAAGCGGTTTCCCGCAATATTTTTCGCCAACTGCACAAATAATTTAATTTGCTTTCGAAATATGTCTTTTTTGAGGCTTGATCGCGGGAAAAACCGCGCGGAAACGCGCGCGCAGCTCTCGAGTGTTGCTGCTGCTGCTGCTGCTCGGCCTCAGCACCAAAAGGAGGCAGCCGCCGCTCGCTGGGCCCTCCAGAGCAGCAGCAAAACTCTGCAGCAGCAGCAGCACGGAAGACTTCCTTTTGGCCTCTGCATGCAGCTTTAGCTGTTGCTGCTGCTGCAGCAGGACTTGCAGCAGCAGATCCTCTTCGTTTCCGGCGCCTTCTTCGTGTACAGACAGTCCGCTGCAGCAGCAGCAGCTCCACAGCCCTTCTTTTCCTTTTGGAAATTCTCTGCTGCTCTTTTGCTGCAGTTAATTCCATTTGCTGCTGCTTGCGGCTTCTTTTCGCTCACTTCGCCGCTGCTGCTGCCCGGGAGCCGGGGGCAGAGCAGCAGCAGCAGCAGCAGCTGCTGCTGCTCGACAAACCCTGCTGCTGCTGCTGCTGCTGCTGCAGACAGCCACTTATTTGAACTGCACTGAAGGGCTTCGCGCGGCAGCAGCAAACTGGCAAGCCCTGAGGTGTACAGACACCCGAAACTCCCCCCCAAGACTTTCCAATTTAGTAAAAACAAAAAGCTGCAGCAAACCGCCATGAGGCCCTTAGCAGCAGCCTGAGCCCTCAGCATGCGCATGCACTCCGTTGCTGCTGCTGCTGCTGCTGGGGAATGTGTTTCTGTTTGCGGGTTTTGTGTGTCTCCTTGCTTTTTGCTGCTGCAGCAGATTTTGTGCCGGACCCATTTGCTGCGCCTGAACTGTCTGTACACCCCGTGCTGCTTCCTGAGCTGCTGCTGCCGGCTTCCGCCCGCTGGCGGCAGCGCAGCAGCAGCAGCGCAGCAGCAGCAGCAGCAGCAGCAGCAGCTGCTGCTGCTGCTGCTGCTTTCTCCCCGCTCAGCCAACTCTTTTCGGGCCCAGGGTTTGCTGCTGCTGCTGCTGCTGCTGCTGCTGAGGGCCCCCAGGCTGCCAGCAGCAGCAGGGGGGCCCCCACCCCACAGTGGGGGGCCCCCCAGGGGCCCCACAGGGTTTACCGAGATGATTATGAGCCCCCGAAGTTTGAAATAGATTCTGTGGATTTGACTTTTGAATTGGATGAGGACGAGACCAAGGTGCTGCTGCTGCTGCTGCTGCTGCTGCTGCTGCTGTTGCTGCTGCTGCTGCTGCTGCTGTTGCTGCTGCTGCTGCTGCTGTTGCTGCTGCTGCTGCTGCTGTTGCTGCTGTTGCTGTTGTTGAATTAGCTGAGGAGGAGACCAAGGTGCTGCTGCTGCTGCTGCTGCTGTTGCTGCTGTTGTTGCTGCTGTTGCTGCTGCTGCTGCTGTTGCTGCTGCTGCTGTTGCTGCTGTTGCTGCTGTTGCTGCTGTTGCTGTTGCTGCTGCTATTTTATTAGTAAACACTATTAATTTAAAGTGCTTTTTTTAAAACGCATTTATTTAAACAAATGCATTTATTTAAAATGCATCTTTTTGTGGAAATACTTTTTATTGAGTGCAATATTTAAAATGCATCTTTTGCAAAAACGCATGCATTTAGAAATTCTTTTTTATTTTGAAAATAAATTTGCAATTAAAAATGAAATCATTTAATTAAAAAAATGCATTTAATTTCAAATTCTTTTTGAAGTTTTGCAAATTTTTATTTAAATTTGCAAAATTCAAAAAGAAATAAAAATATTTAAATTTGAAGATTTTCTTTCTTTCGAAATCTTTTTGAGCTGCTGAAAAGGTCATTTTATTTAAAAATATAAATTCAAAATAAAACAATTTATTTTATTTTACTTTAATTTATTTTAATTTATTTTAATTTATTTTAATTTATTTTAATTATTTTTATTTCCACTTCTTTTCAGGTGACCTCTTTGCTGCAGCTGCGGCGCACTGCAGCAGCAGCAACGCCGCTGCTGCTGGACGGCGAGCAGCTGCAGCTTGCTGCAGTGTGGCTGAACGGAGAACTTCTTGAAAGAGAAGCAGCAGACCCCAGCAGCAGCAGCAGCAGCAGCAGCAGCAGCAGCAGCAGCAGCGGCAGCAGCGGGGAGGGGGCAGCAGCAGCAGGAGCAGTAGGAGCAGCAGGAGCAGCAGCAGCAGGAGCAGCAGCAGGAGCAGGAGCAGCAGCAGCAGCAGCAGCAGCAGCAACAGCAGCAGGAGCAGCAGCAGCAGCAGCAAAAAAGACGTACCGGCTGCTGCCGGACGGGCGTTTGCTGCTGCAGCCGGAGCTGCTGCCTGCAGCAGCGGGGGAGGCGTTCTTGCTGCGGACTGAGGTGTACGTACACCCCAAGTCCAACAGCAGCAAACGGGGACTTTTCTTTTCTCGAGGAATTATTCTTTCTCAATGCGAACCAGATGCATTTCGGAGAATTACTTTTTATTTGGACAGACCTGATGTTCTTTCCAGATTCTCCGTGAGTTTTTTATTTCTTTTTTTTTATTTCCACTTTTTTGTTTTTCGTTTTTCTTTTTGCGCTTTTCTGTCTTTTTTTCTTTTAGTTTCCGCTGCTGCTTTGCTGCTGCTTTGCTGCTGCTTTGCTGCTGCTTTGCTGCTGCTTTGCTGCGGCTTTGCTGCTGCTTTGCTGCTGCTTTGCTGCTGCTTTGCTGCTGCGTTGCTGCTGCGTTGCTGCTGCTTTGCTGCTGCGTTGCTGCTGCTTTGCTGCTGCGTTGCTGCTGCTTTGCTGCTGCTTCGTCCCTCTTTTTCGTTTATTATTTTCAAAAGTCTTTTTTGTTTTTAATTTGAGATTTTTAATTTGTTTTGAATTTGCTGCTTTTCGCTTTGCCTGGTTGCTGTGGGTGCAAAGCCTTTGAGACTTGAACAACAAATGAGATTAAAATAAAAAATAAAAATAAAAAATAAAAATAAAAAATAAACATAAAAAATAAAATAAAAAACAAAAATAAAAAATTAAAATAAAAAAAGGTAAAAAGTGAAGAACAAAGGGCTTTTAATGCACTTTAATCCATCCAAAAGAAGCACCAGAAGGCAAAAAAGAAACCAATTAAAAAAAGAAAACTGCTGCTCTTCAGATTCAAAATTAACTTTGACCAATGGTCCACGAGTGGTCCACTGGTGGACCATTTGGAAAGTGGCTGCATGCATGCACGGGGTGTACGTACAGCTGCAGCTGCATGCGCGCATGCACCGGGTGCAGGTGCCTGCGCAGTGTACGTACACCCCGTGCATGCATGCATGCATGCACGGGGTGTACGTACAGTTCGCCTGC